CTCAGTCGGTTGAGTATCCGACTCCGGCTCAGGTCATGATCTCGAGGTTTGGGAGTCTGAGCCCCGTATCAGGCTGGCTGCTGTCAGCGCAGAGCCCGCTTCAGATCTCTCTCTCAAAAATAAAAAAAATACAGAAAATAAAATAAAATAAAAAAGATCCTCTAGAATTGGAAGATGATCGAAGGAGAGAGAAGTAAGTAGGCTGCCTGGGAGGCTGAGAGATGACGTCGGGAGAGGACAGGGTCAGGACCTCCGTAGCGGCAGCTGACATGGGCAACTGTCTCTCCTTTCCTCAGAAGCAAATGACCCAGGCCGATGGAAACGTGTAGAAATGATCAGTGGCAGCCAGATTCTTAATGCTGTCTGGCTTTCCAGAGGAGCGTGTAGTGGGAAAAGGAATCACTGCAGGAAATGAGAACCAGGTAGAGAGACCCCCAAATAACAGGACGTAATGGAAAAAGTCCAACAGCTCGATTTTAGGCCAAGGCCTCGAGGACAAGTCCCCGCGGCACATCAGGGGTGGGAAGCCCGGAGGGAGGGCGGCAATGTTCCACAGCTACGGGACACGGACCCCGGTCAGCCTCACCGTGCGTGTGTCATGTGACTTTGGGCAAATAACTTAACCCTCTGGACTGCCCATCTTCCCGTCTGTAGACTGAAGATAATACTGGTTACTTCTTTGGATTCTTACGGCGCTCATGGGATCAGGGATGCCCGTTACGTAGCAACGTCTGCATAGAAAGATAACCGAATAAAGCCTCCTGCTAAGTGCTGGGCACGGGCGTGGGGTACAAAAGTATGTCAGACCCCACTCCCGCCTCACAAGGTCTACAGTTCAGTAGGGAAGACAGGCCTATGGACGCCTAATTAACCCCCAAAGGCAGAATACAGGAAGTACTGATGAGAAGATTCAAGAACCATGGAGAGCGAGGGCAGAGAAGAGGGTGGGTATCCGAGTCAGCTGTTGATCCTGGAGGACGCTGCTGAGTACAAAGTATCTAATCTACACCGGACACGGCAGAGAAGGAGCATCAGGCTGCCACGGGGAGGGCGCCCGGACAAAAGACATTCTGGGCTGTGTTCACATGGGGCCGCCCTCAGCAGTGGGTGTGAGTCAGGCTCTCTGATGGCCAGAGTGCGGGCTCCTAGGCCAGCCTGGGAGCCTCCACGGTGCCATGGCTCCGCCTGTGGGCAGAAAAAGCCTCCCAGCAGGGGGGACTACTCCCAGAGGGCAGACTTGTGACAAATAGGAGGCGGGTGGTCGTGACTGTGGGCAGAAGAAACGCACAGATGCCTTGAAGCGACGTGGCTTCCGGGAAACCCAGATCAGCCTGGCAGAAAAGGCGAAGGGAAGGGAAGGAAAGTCTCTGTGGAGACCTACAAACTTGTGTCAATATCCCTCCGGGCAAGGCCTTCTCCCAAGCCATCGGCTGCCCGGCCGTTGGGTCAGATGCCAGCCCCGGTTCCCTGGTAGAGGCAGAGGAGAGTAGGGACGCACGGCAGGAGGGCGCATATGGGGCTGGGGCGCACGTGAGAAGAACCCGGCTTTCATGCTCGTCTGCCCTCACTTGGCTACAGGACGAAGGTCAGTCATTTCACTCCTGCCTGGGGCTTCATAACTGCTCTGTTGTCAGCACAGGGGGGGAAAAGCCCTCTGGACTGCGGAGCGGGCACCTCCTTGCCCTCTGTGGCCACCCCTGTCTCAGATCTGTGGCCCTCCCTGGCCTGACACAGTTACTCCCCGACGGCCACATCTGGAGTCCTTGTTTAAAAGTAAATGAAAGGTCCTTTGAAGAGGGAGGTGTTCTCTCCAGGGGTAAGCAGACGAGTCGAAAGAATACTCTGAGACGAGGATTATTTGGGAGAGAAACAGGACCATTACTGTAACTATCTGGGGGATGCTACTCTCCACTTTTCCTGGAAGTATAGATTTGTGGGAGCGTGGTTTTGGGATTTTTCAGGAGACTGTCTAAAATCATCTACTCGTTGGGGCACCTGGGGGGCTCAGCCATTACAGTGTTGGACTCTTGATTTCAGCTCAGGTCATGATCCCATGGTTCGTGGGTTCGAGCCCCGAGTCGGACTCAGGGCTGACAGCATGGAGCCTGCCTGTGGGCTTTTCTCTCTCTTTCCGCCCCTCCCCCACGCGTATGAATGCGCGCACGCTCTCTCTCTCTCTCTCTCAAGATAAACTCAAAAAAATAAACTAAATAATAATCCTCTCCTCATAAAAGAATGGGGACGATGCTCTGTTTTAAAGGAGTCTGAATTCTCAGAATTATAATCTTTAAGCCATGTAAGTTTCCAGGGCGGAAGAACTGATCTATTTCCCCTGCCAGGAGTATTTCCATAGTCTGAGGTCTCCCGGGAAGCCTGGAAACAGAGTCCCCAACAAATTGCATCTTTTCATGTAAACCTCAATAGGCCATAGATATTTAGGTCCAAGGAGGTGTCAATTTGATATTTTATGATGCTGTAAATGTTATGTTTTGCATGACTTCTGGCATCGGAGGACTGCAATTGCCGACTAAACTGGTTTCCAAATGGGAGCCACATGGCCACAGCCCCGAGTAGGATTAGGCCGCTTTGGATTTTGCTGCTCAGCGAACTATCTGAGGCCTCCGAAGAGGAAGCACTTGGAATATTTTTCTCAAATGTGGTCTGTTTTTTTATGTGTTGCTTCTCCCTGATAATATTTTGCAGCCTACTTCGTGTTAAAAAAAAAAAGCCAGCTTACGAAGACACTCAGAAGAGAGGCGTGTAGATGTCTCACTCGTGGGAATCGGAAAAGGCGAAAGAACGAACTGTGGGTTTTCCCCTCTACCTACACCCCTCTTCCTCCTTGGGTTTCTTTGTCACAGGTGTGGCCACCGCGGTCACTCTCTATGGGTCAATGCCGTCCCTCGGGCGGCAGCTGGCTTTCCTCTCTTCTGGGAACTACTTCCCTGCAGAGACCGTGTTTGGGTGGCCGGCCAGTGTCTTCCCCTTCTGCCTTGCCAGGCCACCCAGCAGGTCCCTTCCCGGAGCGACAGGGGAGGGGCGAGGAGGTCAGGGAAAGGAACAGGCTGGGGCGGCAGCGGGAGACCGGGAGGTGGAAAGTTGAACAGGGACACAGCCGTCTGAGCTGGTTCTCGTTGCTTTCTGAAGCCGGTTTACCTTGAACAGTGAGGTATGCCGAGCTTTCCACGGACCCCTTCTGGTTGGTGGCTCTGCAGTGATATGCACCTTCGTCGTCTTCTGTGACTCTTTCAAGAAACAGCGTGCTGCTTCCCGGTCCTAGGATAATTCCTGAGGAGGGAGAGATGTTTACATTAGCGGGCCCGGGGGACAGACAAAAAAGGCTACTTCTGTCGTACTACCCTTTGCCTATAGTTATGCGTTCAGACGAGGAAATCCGAGCTCTAGGCAACCTTGGGCCCGGCGGCCTGTTTGTGTTTTCTGGGTCCAGGCTTTTGAACAGCACCTTCACCATGCAGCAGAGCTCGGACACCACCCCCCCCTTCTGGAGGTGATGGGACCCAGGCCGTTCACCGTGTGGAGAGAAAGGAGGTGGGGCACCTTTCAAGAGCCAACGTCAAGGGCACAGCACATCCAATAATAACACCACTTACCGGGGGGCCTGCTGGGTGTTAGCACCGCGCGGGCCACTTCACATCCTGACATTTACAGCCAGCCCGCAGGGTCTTTGTGTCTCCATTTGACAAATGTGGAAACAGATTTGGCGAGGTGAACCCCCTACCAAACACACATATATCATCCCTCCCCCCCCCCACCCCCACCCCAGCAAACAGGAAGTGTTTCTTGAACGAGGACGAGTACATGTAGCCCAGCATACCCAATTAAATGCAAAGTCTGGGGTGGGAGGGAGACCAGTGAGAATCGGAATACACAGGAAGGCACCATGGAGGAACTGGGCCTTGAGCTGAGGTTTAAAGGATTAACAGGGGCCGCTGAAATCATGCTTGTTCTGAAATGGCGATACAGTGGGTCTGCCCAGGCTACAGGCTGTATTTTGTCAAATGGTTTACATTTCCCCTGATTAAGAGAGCCATCCAATAAGGAAAACGTGAGAAATACTGGAAAGCATAAAGAAAATGTAAAACAAACGTACAATCTTTCCTCCCAGCCATTTTCCCTTTATTCTTCTTAAAGTGCACTTTTTAACAACCGTTCGCCCGTTCGTGTGGTATTTTTGAGCCCCGACTACATACTAGCCGCCATTCTAGATCTGGCGATATCGGACTGAGCGAGACAAACGGACGCTCGCCTACAAAGGGCTCCGATTATGGTCTTAGAGAGTTACAAGTAAGTAATTTAAAGGAACGATAAAGTCCGTAAAGAAACTAAACCAGGTGAAGGGGACCATGGGTTATGGGGGGGGGGGGGAGGGGTTAGGGGAAGCTCTCTTGGGAGATGACATCTAAGCAGAGACCCGAGACCCGAAAGACGGCGAAAGACGAGCTATTTGGAGATCTGGAAGGGGTATCTGAGGCACATAGGGAGGAGGATCTCTAAAGTCCCCGGGGCAGCAGTGAGTTTCAGGGACACTGCAGACTTTAGCTGGCAAGCAGGACAGGGGAGGGTTCGCAAGGCCCGACCATGAATGAGCACAGGCCATGGTAAGAATTTAAGGTTTTGTTCTAAGCGCCGGAAAAAGCCACTGGAGGGTTATATCTAACTGCTCGTAACTATAAATAAGAGTGCAATTCACACATCTTTAGGCATAAAGATTACTCTCTATTTCGGATTGCTTCCTTAGGATACATTTTCAGAAACAGGCGTATTAGGTCAAGAGCTCGTGATTCTTACAACCGCACTGCCTTCCAAAAAGATTATACCCATTAACATGTCCACCAGCAGAGAAGAGGCTTTTATGTCTCTCCCGCCCGTGACGAGCGGGACCATCTAAAAAGATAAAATACAAAACACAAACCTTTGCTGGTTTGAAAGCGGACTTGGTAGCCATTTTTATTTGGAAAGCACCCGTCCGGGGTGCTTGACTAGAAAAAGCGAGTTCAGATTGAGGAGGGCTTTGAACCCCTGGCCAAGGAGTTTCCGTTTCGGTGTAGAAGGAAGAGAGGGGCTCACAGAGGTTTTTGAGCAGGGAAATGACCTAAGGAAAGCAATGTTTGAGGAAGTTTAGTCCAGAGGGAGAAGACGGGGTAGGCTGCCGCGGGGGAAAAGTGCCATCTGGAGTTCAGCGGATAATCCGGGCAAGGAACACGGGGCATCCAAATCCGGACGGAGGAACAGGAAGCAGAGAGGAAGACACGTAAACAGACACTCGGCAGAAGCAACCTGCACGAGTTACCCCCTCCTGGAGGCAGGAGTGGACAGAGAGGAGTGCGAGACGGTTCTGGTCTTCTAAGCCCAGGAAATGGGGGGTGGTGGGGTGGGGGGATGCGTGAGACTCTCCCCACAGCCTTGGCCTGTGAGTATGTCTCCCCATGGGTACGATGAGAATAATACCTGCTTTGCCTATTTTATGGTAGCGCCGTGAGGCCCAATGGAGATGACTGAAGTGAGAGTTCTGGAAAGGGGAAGACAGGGCACCTGTGGGAATCGCAGGAAGTCAGAGCGTGGCTGGAGCGTGGGCTACCAAGGGCGACGAGCATTCATGGCAGCAGCGGTCTCCGACTCATGAGTGTCACTGCAGCAGCCCTGACCTCCACCAACTTTCTGTCACCCCAGTCTTGGTTTGAGGCTAACACAACGAACAAATGAAGGCCCAAGACCTTGGGTGTCACTCGAGGAGACAGGGGCGTAGTTGCCAAGGTGAAAAGACAGTGTCAAGGATGCTGTGGAGCTAACGCCACTGGGCCGTTTCCTGTTTCGGCCGCGCGGAGGAGGTGACGGGGTGTCCCAAGCCACCCACCGGCCCTCACGCTACGCTCCGACGAGCGGCGCAGACATGGGAACATCAGCCGCGTTCTCACTCTCTGCTCTCGCTTGTTTCTTGCCCTTCTGGCCAACACAGGCCAGTTACTACCTCTACTAGGCTTCCTCATCCCCCAGATCTGCCCGCACTTACGCGTAGTCGTGTCCCCTGGTTTCTTTAACGCCTTAACCTTCATGCCGCTCACTTCACGCGACCCGGTCCCTACGATACAGATGCTGTTTATTCTACTGAGGAGCGCACCCTCTGCAAAGGGCTTTCTTTTTAGCTTTTTCATCGGGATCCGTTTCAAACATTTAAAAGTGCAGGAAAACTAGAACCCATGTGCCCACCACGAAGAGAGTCAGAGGTCAACTTTTGGCCATACTGGCTCCAGACCCCCTCCCCCCCTCTCTTTTTATACGAATACAATTCACCGATACCTTATCCCCTTCCCTCTCCTCTCTCCAGAGGCGTCGCTATCCTAAAGGTGGGGTGTTATCATTCTCAGGCATGTTTTTGTGCTTTTTCCACATAGGTATGTACCTCCGTAGAAGAGGTAATATTGTTTTGTGCCTTTAAAAATTCTAAATAAAAGGCACCATACAGTGGATGCCTTTTCTCAACTTTTCCTATTTAATGATGTTTTGATATTTATCCTGGTTGATGCATGTAGAATAGAGTTCATTGTTTTTCAAACGTTTATTTATTCTGAGTGAGAGAGCCCAAGAGGGCAAGTGGGCAGGAGAGGGTGGGGCAGAGAGAGATTGAGAGAGAGAGGGAGAGAGAGAGAGAATTCCAAGCAGACTACGCTATCCGTGCAGAGCTGGACGCGGGGCTCAAGCTCACGAACCATGAGATCGTGACCTGAGCTGAAACGAACGCTTAACCAACTGAGCCACCCAGGCGCCCCTGGAGTTCATTTTTAACTCATGTATAAAACTCATATTTAGCTCATCGTATACAAAAAAATACACTTTTCTGCCATAAGGTAGTTTTCGCTTTTTTGCTCCCATGAAGAAGGCTGCCAGCGCACCTGTCCCAGACAGTTGTACATGGTTATGCACACATCTCCTTGTGCTGGGTTATAGAGTACACCGATTTTCAACTCCACCAAGAATTACAGAATGTCTTCCAAAATACTACTGATTTATACTTTCACTAACACTAAGAGCTGCCCTTCCCCATACTTCCCGATACTTGGAGCTATCAGATGTTTTAATTGGGGGCAAAATGACGGGTGTGAGACGGCATCTCACGGCGGTGTTAACCTACATTTCTCTGATTACCAGGTAGGTGGAACATGGAGCATCATTTTCCATTTTTTTTTTTTTTTTTTTGGCCACGAAGGCTTCCTTTCCTGGGAATTACCTCTTCATGTCCCCCACCCGTTTTTCTATTAGCCTATTTGTCTTTTTCGCAGCGATTTTAGGTTCTCTATATGTTTTGGGGACTAATTCCTTATTGGTTAAATATGCTGCAAGGTCCCCCAACATTCTACGAACAGTCTTTGAAACTTTGTGAATTTTTAATACAAAAGTTTAAAAAATTCTAATGTAGTCAAATTTGTTAATATTCTCAATTATCCTTTGTGCTGCTTGTTCTATTTTATTTTTTATTTATTTTGAGAGAGAGACAGAGACCGTGAGCGGAGGAAGGACAGAGAGAGACACAAACACACAGAATCTGAAGCAGGCTCCAGGCTCTGAGCTGTCAGCACAGAGCCCGACTCGGGGCTCGAACTCATGAACCGTGAGATCATGACCTGAGCTGAAGTTGGATGTTCAACCGACTGAGCCCCCCAAGTGCCCCCTGTTGCTTGTTTTAAAAAGATATGCTTTCCTACACTGATATTAAAGCATTTCCCTTATATACTTTTTTCCAAAAATAAAATCTCTTAAGAAGATTTACTTAGAGATTTGCCTTTTTTCATTTAGGTCTTTAATCCATCTGGATTTTCTTTTGGGGGCGGTATGCGTGTGGTATAAGAATTTGATTTTTACCACATAAATAATCAGTTATTCCAGCATCATTTACTGAATAATCTATTCTTCTCCCACTGAGTTATGATAACAGTTCTGTCAAGATACTAAGTTTCCATATATCTGTGTTTCTGTTTTTAGGCTCTTTGTTCACAGTGACCCATTTATCCCACACAAGTTATGACTGCTTGATAAAATGCGTCTTGATATTTGCTACAGTGTGACCCCTTCTTCTTCATAATTATCTCAGCCCTTTACACGTCAATATGGATTTCAGTTTTAGCTGGTCGAATTCTGGGAGAAGTACTATTGGGATGTGGGTGGGGATTCCATTGAATTTATGTAATAATTGTGGGGAAAATTTGCATATTTATTTTTAGGTTGAAACAAATGAAATTGCCAATATTTTTGACCTACAAAAATGGCTCCAA